TCCTCGCGTAAGTACTTAGATCTACGCGTCCAACTATTCGCCGCTGTTATAACGCCTTCCGCGAGATCGAGGCGTGTCCGACGTCGCCAAACTTTTCGCATTTTCTTTCGCCGTCTTTTATCCCGGCTGTCCGTTCGCGATAACATCGGAGGAACTCCGAATTGACTGTACCTCCGGGACGACAAGGTAATCGCGGTCTACTGACAATGTTCAGTACTATTATTATGAACTGAGACATCTGAAGTTCCTGATTTCTCGTTTGCGTCTTATACCGTTTACTACGTGTATTGCTACTCAGTGCTCAATGATAAAGCTTTATTTAGATCGTAGCATAACGGATATTCTCAAAATCTGTTCTACTTTCACAAACTTTGTCATTTAAATGAACGTTCAGCCAGTTTTTTCCGGATTCCATCAATAGTCGAATAATTGAAGTTTACGGAGCATTTAAATGAATATTTCACGTCATATTTCAATTTTATTATAATCGCTGCTTAAGTAACCGCCATTAGCCCACTCTCCCTTACATCGCGACCCCAACGGGTTTCATCGGTTCAAGTGCCGCTCGAGTAGATCGAGATCGCTACTTTTGTACTTCGGCGGAACGGAGGAACGGAGACGGGCGAAAAACCGTCGGCCCCGGTCGCGATAGTAAAAGAGACGGTTGGTAAAAGCAGCGCGATCCCCGTCCGCCAGTAAGCCGTTGCCGGCGCGCGTTTTGCGAGATGCAACGGCAGCAGCTCGCTAACAAGCGGCTCGAATTTAATGGTTCCATCCGCTGACGGATGTTTAAACGAGCATTAAATGCAACCGCGCGATGGTAGGGCCGCTGATCCGATTCGGATCTCCTCGAAAAACGGATTCTCGCGGCTTGGCCGAGACGTCGAGGATCCCGATCCGGGACTCGAGGATGAAAAATCGCCCGGCCGCGGCTTCTTGCCGCATCGTCGCATTCCAGCATCGTTGCGGAACTCCGCCGGTGGGCGCGAGCCGCCCGAAATCCGAGCTCGTCGCGCCGTTCATCGAGATATTCGAAGCGAAACAAGAGTCGGCCGGCCCGATCGTTCCGTCCGTCCGTTCCAGCGCGACCGGTCGGCCGGCCGGTCACGATTGTCCGAGAATTCGGTCAACTTTAACGGCAGATTTTTTCAACGATTCCGGTCCGGCGGTGCGCGACTCGTCGCGGCGAGCAGCGCGAATCCGGCCGGAGAAACTTCCAGCGTGTGACCTCGTTCCGCCTGTGACTCGGCATCCAGAAACTCGCAGTTTCGGGCCTTTATGACGTATCAAACGTAACGCCGTGGCAACGAGCAGTCTCGCCGAGGAAACCTCGAACCGACGTACCGGCGCTCCGACATCTTAAAGCCATTAAGATACCGAGTTCAACCAAGATTCGTCGGCGTTGCGCGAGTGCAATACGCGATAATCCGATTCGCCGCGGTCCGTTAATTAACTTATCGCGATAGAGGGTTACGCGGTACACGCTCGACGCCGGAGCGATAGAGCATTCTTTCGACCGGTCGCAGGTGTTTCGCGCGTTATCTAACGATGGTCGTCGGCGCGGTATTCCGAGTCGCGCTGAAATCTCCGTAGAATCCGGAAGGTCGTTAGCGCGCCGGGAGAACGTTCGACGTTCGAGGGGAACTCCCGTCCGGTAAAATCCGACCTCATCGCGGAACGCCGATCGAACTTTTCCCCTTACCGTTGCGATTTTACACCGTACCTAACGAGCTCTTCGCTCGCCGATTTAGCGTTACGCTTTTTCCTATCGCGGACAAGAAACTTCTCGACGAGTCCACCTTTCCCCGAAACTCCGCGCGACCCTTGCGAGAGGGATTCTTTTATTTTCCTGGTAAATTGATTCACGGCGCTGCCAGATCTTCCCTCTCTCTCTCTCTCTCTCTCTCTCACTCAGTCGCTCTCCCTTTCTCTTTCTTTGCCTACGGTAAGCTGCAAAGTTTCGCGGTGCTCGAGTTACAGCCGCTCCTGAGTCACCGTCGACGACTGCAGCCAAGAATTTTCTTCCGACTTTTCCGCCGTAGGAACTCCTCCGGCCTCGCCTCGTCCCGCCCGTCGCGACGCGCTCGCCGGGGCGTATATCCTACATCCTCCGAAATCGAAAGATCAACTCGAACGAATCGTCGGCGAGCCTCGGCTCGAATAGTTGCGAAGCCGAGCGAAATCGGAGCGTCGTCCTCGGCGTTATCAGCCGGATGTTTCGCTAGCGGGTCTACCAAACACTCCGCGCGCGGTAAAGTTGCATCGGCGGCCGCTCGGCTCCCGCGCGTCCCGCGGCGAACAATTCGCGGCGAGAACCGAGGCGGTGTTAAAAATAAGCGTGACGGCCGACGCTAAAATACTTTTACGCTTCGCGCGTATCCTTCGAAAGCAATAATCGCTGCGCAGCCGGCCGCGGGCGCGTCGATTCCCGTCGACGAAAACCGAACCGAAAGAATTCGATGATCGAGCGATCGCGCGGCAAATCGGCGAAACTCGAGGCTCCGTGTTTGACGCTTCGAGTACTGTGGACGCGTATGTGCGTTCTTCGGTCTGTTTAACCACGAACAAATTGGTGACAATTATGAGTGTATTTAATTAACGTACGCGGTTCTTATTACTCTATTTGGCGGAACCGAGGAATTGCAGTTACAATTTAACGCTTTTAACAGCCGATGTTTCGACTTTGCTAACTACGTAGATTTTATAATAAAATAAAGAGGAAGCGAATACTCGTCGGTACTTTTAAAGGAGTTATTATAACCCTTTGCACTCGAAAGGTGACTCACTTGATTTGCTACAGCGAAACTATGAAGTTGAACATTCAGTGTTTTAAATTAAAATTACATTGTGCAATGTGGAATATTTCAATGAAATAGCCTTGTTGCTTAATTTGTCTGTGAATTCTCGTTAAATTAGTTTCAAACAATGTCGTCTATGTTCCATCAGAAAATGTCCACATATTTCTACCGAGGAACTTCCGAGTGCAAAGGGTTAATAATGTCTTCGGAACTGCATATTTCTCTGAGTATTTCCGGCCGTGGAAATCGCAGGGTACCAAGAGAGTGGATAACAAATCGACTGAACTGTTAACTGTATCTATCCGAATTGTATGAATTGACGGAACTCATCAATCATCGGATGAACAGATGAAGATTCCGTCCACGCGGAACGTTTCGGCTGGTAGTATTCGGCACTGAAAGGGTTAAAACGCGTCGGGACACCGAGTCAACACGGGATGACGACTTACCGGGAGGCGTAAAGCTGCAGCGAGCGCCCGGTAACCGACACACAGTATTCTCGCGATTAGTAGCCGAAAATCGGGACTGCAACCGGGCACTTAATCGTGCAGCGGTGTTGATTCGAAGTCGAGATAAGATCCGAGCCGAGCTCCTCCGTTTGTCCTCTGCGGAGGAGGACAGCGCGAGTGAAAGAGCGAGACGCCGGGTCTCGAGCACGATCAAACAAACAGGCGAACGACGAGGTATTAATGCAATGTTGAATTTTTTTTGTTTTTCACTGTCGCTAATCGAAAGTTTTATCAATTAAACTGTAAGGCTTTTCTGATTAAAACGAGACCAAACACGATACACTTTGGAACGTGTCTACTTATCTAATAAATTACAATAATCCGTTTTCTTTTAGCAAATCGTGCGTTAACGCTAAGGCTGCCTTGTGTTTAATACGAGTGATATATAATCTCTATAAAAATTGCGAGAGCAGATTATTTTCGGTTTCTTCGGATATTCGGTACGGTATTCGAGTGAAACGCTTTCAAAATCGTTTCGAATATTCAATACTGCTAAGATATTAATAACAGCGAAATGAAAAACCATTCTGACTGTAGCTCCACTGTTGACACTAGATTTACGGACGTTTATTCTATACTTTATTCTATTGTTCTAAGAAAACTAAGCGTTCGACTGTATAATTCGAGAAAATTGTAGCTTCGAAACTAGAGCATTGCAATGCGTATTCGCGTAATTGCGCGAATCAAAATCGACTCAAGCTATTATTAAATAATTTAAAGAGTTCAATATCCGTCAAATTGACGGGTTCCGTGAATCTATTGTTAATATCACGTTTGGTATCGTATTAATCAGAAGAATCTCACGAATCCGTTGGTAAAAGTTTCATTCACGAAAAGAACTCTTACAGAACGGTTTCATAATCGCGTTAATGTTCTCTCACTGATATCCAGCAGCACTGAACAGCGTATCGAGGACCTCAGTGATAATAATAACGATGGAGCACTGATCCTGCAGATCCTCCCGGTACTAATCGTTACTGTAATCGCGAAACGAGGAAGGGAATACCGATCGCGGTCGCTCCGCCGCATTCATCCTCGAAAATATCTGGTTCACGATGAAACGCGAGTTCGACTGTACCGTCGGGAGCCGATTAGCGGTTAACGGATCGCCGCGAAAAGGAAATCGAGCTTCCGGCAGCCGTCGCATTGGTAAAATCGATTGTCAACCTGTTCCAAAGCAATCCGCGTCGGTCGGCCCCGATTCGTCCGACGCGTTCGCGTTCAACTGACTCGCGATCCGAAGTAGAACCGTTCGCCGAAAGGAGCGCGCGATTTTCAGGGAGTTTAATCTGCTCGTTAACGAGCCGCGACTGTCGTTTAATTTCACCGGGAACGCGCGCATATATTTCGAGCACCGCTCGAGAAAGTAAACGGCCTTAAAACGCCGCGCCGATCGGAGCGAATCCTTGAAAGGGTATCGCGCGCGGCGTGTCGCGTCTGGCGTTGGTCTCGAGCCTGAAACGGGCCGCATAAATCACAATTTCATTTCTTTCGGGAACCGGTCGCGATCGTGACCCCCGGTAAACGCGCAATTAATCTTGGTTCATCCGGCTCGCTCGTGCTCGAACGCGCCGGCGACGCGACGGAGGAGTTCGATCGAATACGGTCACGTTTCAAGGTCCCCGCGAAACTCCCGGCACAGTTCGATCCGATCGTTTACCGATTCGACGGGTGTAACTGTTGAAAGACTCACCGAAGGCGCAACAGAGGACGAACAGCGCAGCTAATCCAGACGGCCTCATGGTGGATGCGGATGACTCCGGGATACTCGCGACTTCCGGGAACGAACGGCAAGCACGGTTTTTCTATCGCCGCGTCATAACAGATCGTCCGCGAGCGAACCACGCGACCTCGGCCAGGGCGCGTCTTTCAGCGGATCGCCATTCTCGTCCCGGCCGAGCGGCGACGAGCTGACAATTAACGCTTTTTCACGCCGCCGCCGGAACGACCGACCACCTTCCCCGACAGCTGGACCGCCCGACGAGTTTTTCTCGCACCTCTGCAGCTCCTCTTCTCACTCTCTCTCTCTCCTCTTCTCTCCTCTTCCTCTCCTCTACGGGCGTCCCTCTCGGCGGAAACGTTGGCACACCGCCGAGCAAGTCGCGCCCGATGTTTTCGTGGAGATCGACGAGCGAGTTTCCGTCGAAAAACCGGTTCCGCGATCGTCGAAAGATCCCTGATATTTCCACGGCGACGGGAAAGAAGAAAGCGTAAAGTGCAATTACGTTTCCGAAGCGCGTGCAAGACGTCGTTTCTTTAGTCCGCTCAAAGACCTCCTTCTCGGCGCTCTCGTCGAGACTGCAGAGATCCTCCGACACCTTTGCCTGTCTCGAGGACGCGTCAACGACTTATCGTCTCGTACCGTCGACGATCGTTCTCCCTCCGTCCC